AGTTAGAGATAGAGGTAGAGTCAGTGGTAGATTAAGGTAGGAGATGCTCTTTGAAGAGGGGGGTCTTCAAGAGTTTCTTGCCCTGGCCCCGCCCCCTCTTTGGCCCCGCCCCCTCCTCACCCCTGCTCCTCCATCATGCCCCGCCCCCCTCCTCACCCCCTCCCTGGAGATAGAGATAGAGGTAGAGATAGTTAGAGACAGAGATAGAGGTAGAGATAGAGGTAAAGGTAGAGATAGAGGTAGAGATAGAAATAGAGGTAGAGATAGTTAGAGACAGAGATAGAGGTAGAGATAGAGGTAGAGGTAGAGATAGAGGGACTACAGAAGGAGCTGTGGGGGGTATTGGCACAGGTTAGGATTACGATAAGAGATGCTCTTTGAAGAAGGGGGTGTTAAAGAGTTTCTTACCCCGCCCCCCTCCATAGCCCCCCCCCCTCCCCTTTTGCCCCGCCCCCTCCTCACCCCTGCTCCTCCATCATGTCCTGCAGCTCGGCGCACTTGACCTCCAGCTGCCTCTTCCTCTGGTGCTCCAGGATGTCTGCGTTGGGTTGCCGGTTCAGCGTGTTCTCCAGACGCTCGCGGTCCTTCTCGTCGCGCTCGCCGCCGCGCTCGTCCCGCGGGCGCTTCACCCGCAGGCTGGACAGGTTCCGCTGCACGTAGCCATTGGTGCCGCTGCCCCGCGGAGTGGTCAGGCCTATCCCATTGTACATGGCTCTGGGGGGGGACATTAGGAACATTTTAAAGGCAGTTTAACTCATTGGCTGCCAAAGATAGATAGATTCTTTTAAGAATCACACCATGGCGGTGAGCTCATATACCCTCTTTGGTTGTACTCAGATTCCGCCGTGTTGCTATAGAAACAAGGACAACGCACATTTCTTATCACATCTCAGTGGAATCTGCTTGGATTGGGAGCTGGCCCCTTAACTCATTGGCTGCCAAAGACGTCTATAGACGATCTGCTAAAGCTTGTCCGTAAATATCAGGCTTCTAGACAGAGTATGTAGTAACAAATTAGTTACACAGAGAGAGGGAGTTCAGCTCACTGACTGGAGTCATTGCTGAAACTGTTCCCAACGCATGTTTGTAGCCTTAAAGGGGACATATTATGCAAAACCAAGTTTTTAACTCATTGGCTGCCAAAGACGTCTATAGACGTCTTTTATGTTTTTAACGATAAGTGTCTGGGGGACGATCTGCTAAAGCTTGTCCGTAAATATGGGCTTCTAGACAGACTATGTAGTAACAAATTGACCCTCTAGGGGGCAGTGCCACTTTTGATGGGAGATGAGCATAGACTGTAGGCAAATAAGAAAAATCTAACGGTTCTATGAGAGAACATGTCGCCGGTGAGACGCAAGTCCAGGAAGAACGGAATAAGGTAGAAACACATTTTTTTTCCTGATGAAAGAAGAGAGTCTACTCTTTCTTTTGGTGTGTTCGGTGTTTACATAGTCATAGCACAAACTATTCTGTGGCTCTTGAAAAATCAGTCAAAATGCTCAAAAAAACTCTGGCAGTATGGGAGTCTGTTCTGAAAATGGCTGCCAGTCAATGAGTTCATGTTTAACCCTCTGAGTCGGCCGGTAAAGTCCCGGCCGACTGTCGATACCTTCTGTTTCCACCTGAATTCGGACTGGTCCATTTCATTTCATTCATTTTTGTGGTTAACTTCAGCAGGAGGAAGGTACCAAGTGCAGACGGGGGGGTTCAGAGTAAGTAATCGCATAAAATTTAGTAAAAGCTATGCATGAGTGTACAGGATTTTAAGGTCTCTTCTGTTAAAAGAAAGATAAAAACTCTTTAACTAAGATCCATCCATCATCCTAACCCCTTATCCCCTAATGGGGTTGGGGGGGCGGAGCCTATCCCAGTAGCCAATGGGGAGAGGGGGTGGATTTTCCCCTCCTCTTCGTTAAATCGGTTCTCTCTGATTGAGGTAAAGTCCCAGTCGACCGATCGGTCGATACGTTCTGGGTCGACCTAAATCCTGATTCTCGGTTCATTTCTTGCCGTCGGTGGTTAATTTCTATTTCAATCAGGGGGAACGTACCAAGTGCTGACGGGGGTGTTCAGTGCGGCCCCGTTTCCCAGGCAACGGACCGACTCAACACGCCAGAGAGGGGGGCTGAACCACGTTTACGATTTCTGACACTTGTTTTTGTTTTAAAGTTTAATCTACACCGAGTCCTCCTCAACCAATCAGCTCAGAGACATCAGCAGAATTTACCAAATATAAAAAAAGTTCAACACAGAATTTGCAAACAGTTTGCATCCAATCACAGCTCAACTACAAACATGGACATCATCTAAAAACGCTCATACTTCTATATTTTAGTGTAATAATTGTTTTCTGCTCTTCACAGCTTGACTACAAACAACACTCCCCACCGATTGGTCTATTTTTAGTAGAAATTTCCAGGTTTCAGTCGACCGAGACTTTCTCGGATTGTTCACAGACTCATTAGCAGTTGGTGATGTTTAGTTTGTTTTTTAGTTTGTGTTGTTGGTCTTGGCTCTCCCTGAAAATACGGGGCTTTTTCATTTCAAACCACAGAGTGGAAAGAACTGCAAAACAACTAGTAACTAAATAACCAACTAAAGTGCTCATACAGTCTCTGTCTGTTCCCTGAGCTCCTTTCCCCCTTTTGACCTGTTTCTGCGAGGCCTCCATCCTGTGCTGGAACTCCATAAACAGCTTTTCCTGCATGTTTTTCCATCATTACCTTCAGACAAACACTAAGACGTCTGAGGGAAACACCCAGCTCTAAACAGCTCTGCACATCAGACCATCCATCTGGTTCCCACCAAGCCAAAGGCTGGACGTTTAAAAGAGAGCCATTTGTCTGTATTTACTTAGCTCCCCTTTTATTTTCCTTTTAGTTTCAACTTTGACTGATAAACATCTTTTGCCTCTGATCCACAAACCTAATACAGGAGACTGTACACTAAAATATGCATTAAAATCCTTCATAAAATAATATTCCATTTATAAATACCTGGTTTATCCTAGAGTGAAATTAAATGATACAACTCCTTTACTTATTTCAGATTGTGATGGCAGGAAAGATCTTCTGTATCGGCATATTTTACAACCAATCTGAAGACACCTTACCTAATCTTTAGAGGAATTACAACATAGAATTAGCTTTATTCATTCAGATAGGAAGGCTGTGAAGCTCATTATGATGGTTTTAGTGTTCAGGGGAGAAATATCAGCACATCACTGATCTCAACCACACAGCAAAAATACATTTAACTGACACTCCTATTAAGACTGAACATAGATTGGTGTATGTGGCTGTGCAGGATCAAGAATATGGGATGATTTCCCATAAATCCAGAGAAGAGATCTTAGTCCTAGCACCTGAAAACGGACGGCCACTTTTCATTGTTCGCATGTAAAGCTGCAGAGGCTTCCCACCATGAAATGGCAGGCACGGCTCA